AAAAGGACCTAAGAAGGAGATAGAATGTCGGCATAACTTTTTTTCCTCGACGAACTAAGATTTAACAAAACGATAATAAGAAATGAAATTCGTTTTCTAGAAACAAATTATCCTAGTCGATAATGAAACTAAAGTCGAAACTCAAAAATACAAATCAAATCACTAATTTCCAAACAAAAACGAGCAAAATTAACAAATCAAACAAAAATCAGAAACGAAGAACTCAAAAATCAAAAACGAAGTACTTACCTTTCCGTTTCGTAACCAAGTTCAGTAAGATTCGATTGTTCGTCGCTTCGTTTCATTCAGATTTTACTTCGATTTGTTGCGAAAATCTAGGGTTTTATTGTTGAAATGTCAGCTTCAATTGTTCGATTTGACTTGATTTTTGCAAGTTTATGAACAATGTTAGCAAACTTTAGGCGAAAATCGCAAGAAATTCTCATTGACATTTTAACAAACACTTAGTAGGCAATTGATAGACCGACCTCGAACAAAGGCTTTAGCAGCATTTTCTCTCATACAGGATCGTTTTGAAAACGAGTGCAAGAGAAATATGTGAGAATTATCGCTCATTAAGCCTCGATAAACATTCGCATTCTTCGAATTTTGACTCGTCTGCTCACTCGACCAAGAATTTCCAAATTTATATTCTAATGAAGTTTAGAATTGAAACAACGAAATTTTGATTTTAAAATTGATAGAGTAAGAAGATGAAGATGATGTCAAACCAGAGGAAGATTGGAGATCGGAGCTCGAACCTGTTGGAAATTTAGCCAAAAATTGTGAATTCTTTAGAAAGAATGAGAAGAACTTAGAGAGAGGAGAGAGAAAAAGGACCTAAGAAGGAGATAGAATGTCGGCATAACTTTTTTTCCTCGACGAACTAAGATTTAACAAAACGATAATAAGAAATGAAATTCGTTTTCTAGAAACAAATTATCCTAGTCGATAATGAAACTAAAGTCGAAACTCAAAAATACAAATCAAATCACTAATTTCCAAACAAAAACGAGCAAAATTAACAAATCAAACAAAAATCAGAAACGAAGAACTCAAAAATCAAAAACGAAGTACTTACCTTTCCGTTTCGTAACCAAGTTCAGTAAGATCCGATTGTTCGTCGCTTCGTTTCATTCAGATTTTACTTCGATTTGTTGCGAAAATCTAGGGTTTCATTGTTGAAATGTCAGCTTCAATTGTTCGATTGGACTTGATTTTTGCAAGTTTATGAACAATGTTAGCAAACTTTAGGCGAAAATCGCAAGAAATTCTCATTGACATTTTAACAAACACTTAGCAAGCAATTGATAGACCGACCTCGAACAAAGGCTTTAGCAGCATTTTCTCTCATCAAGGATCGTTTCGAAAACGAGTGCGAGAGAAATATGTGAGAATTATCGCTCATTAAGCCTCGATAAACATTCACATTCTTTGAATTTCGACTCGTCTGCTCACTCGACCAAGAATTTCCAAATTTATATTCTAATCAAGATTAGAATTGAAACAACGAAATTTTGATTTTAAAATTGATAGAGTAAGAAGATGAAGATGATGTCAAACCAGCGGAAGATCGGAGATCGGAGCTCGAACCTTTTGGAAATTCAGCCAAAAATTGTGAATTCTTTAGAAAGAATGAGAAGAACTTAGAGAGAGGAGAGAGAAAAAGGACCTAAGAAGGAGATAGAATGTCGGCATAACTTTTTTTCCTCTAATCTCAGCCGTTGATTTTTATGGACGGTGGAGATTGTCCGTTTTCAGTTTTCAGATTTAATTTTGTTTTCAAATGATCCTCTTCATATATATATATATATAAATATATATATATATTTATATATATATATATATATATATTTGAATATTCTATAATACTCCCTCCCTCCATTCCTGAATGAGGGTTACGTTTGCCATTATTATTATTATTACTATTACAATTTACTACTACTACTACTACTTCGCATTATTATAGTTGATATAAATGTTAATATTATTGTTCCTATTTTAGTTAAAATTATTATGAATCCAAAACAATTGGACAAAATACATTGAATTGAATGTGAAGTTAACTTGCAACTTAATTTGGTCGAAATCCATCAAGTGGTCATGCAGTGACATTTAACATTTTGCAGCTTATTTTGGTAATAATTTATTATGACCTATGTGCTCAATATTACGTACAAACCACGTATTCCGGCGTTTGTTAGATACAAATACAAATATGTTGTAATCACAGATAGGTATTCTACTTATGCTGTCTAATTAATTATGCAGCCCATTTTATGTGTGGCCACTTATAAAAGAATAAAGTAATTCCTGTAACACTGATCAAGTACTCTTGTAATACGGACCGAGTAACCCTTATAACACTGACCGAGTAACCCTATAACACTAACAAAGTAATCCCTTTAACACTGATTAAGTAACCCCTATAACATTAACGAAGTATCCCCTATACTGGTTGCACCCTAAAAGCCTGTCTGTACAAATGATATGGCCACATATAAGAATTTGTGTATGTTAATCATGATGAAGAATTGCTTTCCTTGGGTAAGAATGATGGATTTGGCATTTGTTCTAATTGAAGGTAAAACCTTAAAAGTCTGAAACAAGATGTGTTTGCAAAGTTGTTAAATCACAATGAGACTATGAGAGTGAGGGATAGCTCATGTTGTTAGAGTTTCTCTCTTGGTTCCAGGAGATTTTGGGATCGATTTTCACCCCCATCCATTGTGGCTCTCTAAACACCAAAAAAAAAAAAAATGAAATTCACAACTTGGACATTGAATATATCATTGACACACATGTTAGGATTAATTCCTGCTATAAACTTTAATCTTCATATCAAATTAATCAGTAAATCATAATTGCGGAAGCGTACCTGATTACATGATAATTGATCGAGTCCCTTCTTGATTATGTGTCTGTAGGCGTCGCTCGAAGTGCGCCTACATTGAGCGTACGTGAATACTTGGCAATCATAGAAAGTTGGATCTGACATATAGCAATAGGGACAAAAAAAAGTAGGGAGCCGCCAACAAAATTTTAAGGAACTTGTAAACCATTCATGGATCATCAAAGGCAACCACGAAAAGGGACAAACCGAAAAGCAACAACGATTTGATCCACGAAGGTTACACCCCATTCATAATCCATGAGATTACTAACTCCATAGTGGTCCTGAACCATAACTGGATATTCGGGGATGATGGTATGGATTGAGTCATGAACTCAATGCCGCCCGTATTGGCCTCTACTCGATTCTTATAGTGACATATATTAATCGCAACCCAAAAGACATACAAACAATATTCAATTCGCTCCAAACTAATTAATCTAAGTTGGTTGAATATTTAATGCACACGTAAATCTAATTATTGTGATCTGATCACTTGAATTTAAGCAACAAGATTACTGGGAACCTAGATCGGCTATTCAAATTATCTTATTGGGCGTGATTTTTAATTACATATTTCCAATTAAACATGCAATATAGGTGATCAAAACAAATAGAATAATCGTATAAAATAAAGAAGCATGTATAAAAATATTGGAAGCAACTAGATCATTAAAGAAACGAAGTAAAAGTATCCTAAACATGATACTATATAATAATTAATGAAATCCTAGGCATGATACTAACAAGATTAATATAATGCCTAAACATGATACTAATATTTAAAAATACAATTCCTAAACATGATACTAGTAATCAAAGCATTAAAAATAATTAGAGTAAATAAAACTAAGAGAATTAAATACTCACTTCGAATGTGCAACTTTGAATACTACATCATGAATAGATTGTTAGTAACTTCAATAAAAATAATAATTTAAAAGAATTAAATTAAATAATTAACGAAATTAATATCACCCTCGGGATTATACCTTCACACCTTAGTAAAAAAGGTAGAACCTTCGGATTGGACTTTGAATTACTTGAATATGATTAGAAATAAAGCTAAGAACAATAGAAATTGTACGTCGAAGCTTTAAGTCTAAAACTTTTGAATCATATGGGATTGAAAAATAGCTTTTGGGATGTCAAATTTGTCTCCTAAAAATCAGAAATAAGGGTGGCATTAATAGGCATAAAAATCAGATAGAGATAGTTTTTTGAAAGAAGATAGATCTTTGAAAACATGTAGCGCGGGTCAGCAGTTTTGCGGTTTTTGTTTTTCTCATAACTTTTGATTCAGAACTCGGAATAAGATAAATAATATATCGTTGGAAAATTCTTGAAGCCTAATTACCAAACCAATTAAAATTAGATTAAAATCTAGTTTAGAATTTGAGATATGATCGAAATAATGCAACGGTGTCAGTTTTGGACAGAGTTTAGTATTTTAATCATATCTTTTTTGTAAATAGCTCGGAATTGGGTTTATGATATATCATTGGAAAGCTTATTTCAAGGGATATCCAAGCATGTAAGATTTGGATAAATATTATGATTCAAAAAAATCAGATTTGCAAAAAAAAAAAAAAATTGATTTTTTGGGCCACTAAGGGCACCGGTTAACCGGTGCTAATAATCTTGTATTCACACCGTTTAACCGGTGCTTATGTTAATTATTCCCACCGGTTTTGAACCGGTGCGAATAAATTTAGCTTTTGGCATCCCTTAAATGACCAACTTCAAAACCGATGCACAAAGCTGGTTTTAAACCGGTGCTCATTTGCATTTTTCTACTAGTGAATATAATACAAACTCGAAGGCTACTATTTTCAAATATGCCACTATTTTAACAAGATATGTTAATATCCTATATTAACCGAGACCGGCTCATATCGAAACAGATGAAGAAATTGTCGTCAAATCATACGAAAAATATGAAACACCTTACCTTGATGAAATCCTTGCATTACAAATACGACATGAGTACATGACCATGTATCGGTCTTACATTATTCTTACATGACATTGTTGTGTTACTCGAATATCGATTAGGGGTGGTTAATGGACAAGGTTGTTCATTGATAATAAGGTCGGGCCAAAATTTAAAGGGTCTTGACCCTTTAATATTTTAGTGTCACTAAAGGGCTTTAATATATAGGGTCAATAATGGGCTTTTATAAACAGCCCATGAATATCAAAGAAAAATTAAAGGGTAAATAATGGGCTTCATCAATAGAGTTCTCTACGATTCACTCTTCGTCTCTTTCTCTCTCCTCCTCCTCGCTGTATCCTCTGCCGTCGCCTCCTCCGACGCTCCCTTCATCGTCGCTCACAAAAAGGCCACTCTCAAGCGCCTCAAATTTGAAGCCGAACGCTACCTTCAAATTTATAAGGTATTTATTAGTTTTATTTTTCAACAAATCTGGAAAACAAAAGGATTTTTAATTGAATTTTTCTAGCTGGGTAAAATTTTAGTAATTATTTTTATGTTTGCTGCGATTTTCGTTGCAATATGATTTTCATATATCCTTGATATTTATTGTCGGCATAGTTCCAATTGATTAATTTTTTAATTGATTTTATCGGATTCCGCTCTAAAAACAATACAATGGTGGTTATGGGGGATGGCGGCGGCGGTAACTGTGGTGGTGGTGCGGTTCAATTTCTAGTATTTCGATTGGCTTTTGTGGTATTTCGATTGGCATAATTATTAGTTCACATATTAGATTTTGTTAAGTAAATTCTTGTTTTGGTTTAGATCTTATGATTTCTAAGCTTCTTTAAACTCAATTTTTTGTGCTTGTTGGTTAATTTATGTGCAAGAGATCGATTTCCTATTCCGATAAATGAGATTAGGACTTGGTACAAGTTTTGAAGCCTAGCAAGTTCTTTGTCTAATGAGATTAGAACTTTTAGGGGAGTTCTAATTGAGCTTTGGTGGGTTTAATTAAGGTTGAAAATGGAGGGAAAAGGAGTGGTCCCACTTAATTTTAGTTTTGAGTGGGTTTTAGTTAGTGGGTAATAGGTGGTGGAGGGGACCACTAACCAAAAAAGTGGGTAAAAGTGGGTAATAGTGGGTAATTGATAGTTAGATATTACCCAAAAAGGAAAGAAAAAAATTTGTTGCAAATAATATAGAGCACCCATTTTAGGTAAATATTGCAGATAATTGCGGGCGGAGGGAGTATAAGATTTTGCTATTCTAGCTGCATTGATACTTCAGATCCTGCTGCCTGCAATAGGAGATGTATACTATGTATGAGGTCTATTATAAGATCTTGCACAATACTAGTATTTTGATGTTACTGTTTTAAATATTTTTTTTAAAAGTGAACCATATCACTAATGTGATTGTAAATTGTAAAAATAATAATAATAATAATAATAATAATAATAATAAAAAATATTAAATTTGGGTAAGGCTCGTTAATGGCCCGTTTTACTTTTACCTCGGCCATGACCCGACCTTGACCCGCATTGACCCTGACACACTAATTATTCATCATGACCCACAACCGACCCGCCCCGCTAATGATCCGCACTGACCCACCCAATAACCACCCCTAATATCGATCTATTGACTACAGCGCCAGCGACTATGCAATGCCATACTAGAATATGTACTTCTCATAACTTGCTATCTTCTCGGATCCTCACCATATCAATTATCAAGTTTAATAAATCATAGAAAAATTCAAATGATGAAGCCAGGCTAAGTCTTTTACATGTTAGATTTTGTGAAAACTCTTTGAAGTCGGTTCCATTGATCATTATATAGGCTTATAATATTGAGTCCTAATTGTGTTAGGAAACCTCAAAAGATAATTATACAAAATACATCACATATATCCTAAAATTACATAATATCTTATCATATATTCTATCAAATTGCAACAATACGACACGTTAAGCGTGGGTTGCAATGACTATAAGAGGGTTTTTTCGTCGAACAGATACACCCCAACTTTCCCCAACGTCTAAGGTTTCACCTTTTCTTCCATTGGGTAACGTCCAATTAAATTCATAAACAAGACTTGCTAACACAAGTTCAATAGTAACAATGCCTAAGGACACACCGGGGCAACCTCTTCTTCCGGATCCAAACGGGATCAATTGGAAATGTTGTCCCCTAAAATCAACACACGAGTTGTCGTTTAAGAATCGCTCTGGATGGAAATTCTCTGGGTCATGCCAAAGTTGAGGATCGCGTTGTATTGCCCACGCATTGACTATAACTTGAGCCCTTGCAGTGATGTTGTATTTATCTATCTTGACATCTTTGGTGGATTCTCGAAATCCCGATAAGGGAACCGGAGGATGTAGCCTAAGTGTCTCCTTGATCACTGCCTTTAGGTACTTCATGTTCTCTAAGTCATGTTCAGTTACCCTTGTATTTGGTTTGACAATGTTTCTTACCTCTTCTTGTAGTTTTTTCATGATATTAGGATGCCTTAATAATTCTGTCATTGCCCATCCTAATAGCGTAGTGGACGTGTCTGTGCCTGCACCAAGTAAATCCTATACCAAATTCAAATAATTTAATTAGATAATATAAATTTTGTCATGATGAAAAAAAAAGTTATAGAACTTAGTGTATTGAAATTTTGGAAAGTTGTGGTTAAGAGAAGTGTAATAAATTGTTCTTTTTATATGCAACTTTTAGAATGTATGTACCATTCTATTAAATATGTTCGATAATTACATCAATTAGCATCAACACAAATAATATGTAACTAGATACGCAATGATTTTTGCAAAAATATAATAAGAATGGCTTTACCAGTATAGTGCCTTTGATGCTATCTCTTGAAAGCTTTTCGGGGTTTTCTCTTTGAATTTCAAGCATAACCTCCACAAAATCTTTGACGTCTTTTCCTTCATCATCCTTGTGATAATGATTATCGTTATTGTGTTCGAGCTCAATCTCATGCTCTTGAATAACTTCTTCAAGGAACACGTCGAATATTCTATGCACATTTGCCACCCTGTCTTCCAAACCCGTTAACTTATCAATCCAACCTAAGAAAGGAATGTAATCTCCTACACTTAACGCCCCCATAACCTCCGCAAGCTCCTTGAACATCTTATAGACGTTCTTGCCACTTTGTGCGTCGATTTTCCTTCCTAGTGCCGTCCTACAAATGAGACATTTAAAGAGTGCGGAAGAAATCTCACTCAAGTTTAACGGTGAACTACCGTAGCTTTTGATCTCTTTGATCATCCGTGCCACCTCTTCTTCTCTTATCGGACGAAAAGATTGAACGCTTTTGTTGGATAGAAGCTGCCTCACGCAAATGCTCTTCCTATGTCTCCATTTATCTCCATAAGAACTGAATCCTACGTCGCTTCCATGGTAAAAAATTCTATCGATGAAACGTAAATTAGGCCTGTCAAGGAAGAGGTGTTCGCGGGTCTTCATGATCTCCTTGGCTGCCTTTGAAGAGGACACAACGAAGGTTGGTCTGTTGCCGAAGTAGAGTAACATGAGGTCACCATACTTGATGGAAAGGGATTGTAGGGAACGGTGAGGTAATCTACCGAGTTGATGGAGGTTTCCGACTATTGGGAGCATTGGTGGGGTGGGTGGTAGATGCAACTCTTTGTTGCACTTGGTTGGTGATACTAGCAATTTGTAAAGGAACATTGAGAAGACAATGAAGGGAAGGAAGAATAGAGGAAATGACATGTTTGTGATTTGCATTGTTTACTTGGTCAAATATTGTCAAGTTAAGATATAGTAGTGAATACTTTAGTAGAATAACTTGTTTATATATAATGCTTAATTAGCTTATGTGAATGTTAAATAGTTTTTTTTTTTTTCTTATAATTTAAGAGGGACGTGTAAAATATGAGATCATATCCCGTCTAATTAAAGAGTGACGTGTAAAATATGAGATCATATCCCGTCTAATTAAAGAGTGCACATTAATTACGAGTACTTACATCCAACTACCAAGTAATTTAAAGCTCATAAAGTGAAATCACTAAATTACTTGCATTGTAACACAAAAGAGTGTTACTCGCGATACTCGCATCACATAGTACTTCTAATGCACATCAACCAGGCACAACAAAAACATGTAAACATGAACAGTGAAAGTTACTGATGTATATAAGGGAACTAACCTTGATATATAAGCAAAATCGTGGAAGCTACATCATGTTATGTTCGATTTTCGTGCAATGTTTATCACAGAATGAGTTGGGTTAATCAATTTGGAAGTTGGCCAAACTAGGTGATATACATAGTAATAAACCACCCATATGATATTTGTAAGGGGGTGTGTTGGAATATTTGCTTCAAATTGTTAGTGGTTAGTTAACTCCTAATGTATAGCAATATGCTCTACTAAGTATTAGTTTCTGTTAGTGGAGTCATAATAGCAGTGGGTTAGTTTAGTGGGTTAATGTTAGCATGATCAATGACCATGGAATCATGTTCCTGACTCATAGTTAGTTATTTGCACTATATATATGTTGTTATGTAGTACGTTTTTCAATGGATTGAATATTTAAAAGTTCTTCTTTTCCTTCTCTCATCTTTTTATTTTTTAAATTAAAATCATATTTATAAATAAGAAAATTGAAATAAAAATCTACCAATTACAATTTGACACGTGTCACAATTAACCTATTAAACAGGTTACCAACTGGTCACTTTCTATTTTGAGCAGATCCGTGTTAAAGGTGGTTTTATTTCGGAATATTCAAAAGATTGTTTTATTTTTGAAAGACCGATAAAATGTCATATATTATTCTTGAGAATTTTTCCTTATTATTTTGTTTAAACATATATACGACGTATATAATGTGCTAATACACTCTAATACTCCGTATATAAAGTTAGATGGTTGTGATGTGGTTGCTTTTAACTTGAAAGAGGCGGTACGGCTTAGAGAAAGAGCTAGCAGTACGTACTTAATAATTGGGCCCTTACTATTGCCTTGCTTCTCACGAGGAAATCTGTTAAGTTGGGCCACATTTTATTTTCTATTTAATTGGGCATATTTTAAAGGTGTTTCTTATTTCTGTCGTTTCAACTTGCAACCTACCTTCCACATGCTCACTCGTTGATGTAGCCTACAACATGTCGTAATTGAATAATGTAAGTAAGAGTGTTGTCATTTTTCATTAAGCTTTCTTGCATTTGTTACAATAATCAATGACTAGAAATGACAATAGAGTTGTTGAGTCGTTCTGAATAATGGATTTGAGTTGAGTAACTTCAGATGTAAGGAATGATTTGAAATCGGGCCTTATAATTTCAAGATTCAGGTTTTATTCAATTCTAAATTGGAAAAGATTATGGCAATATTGAATCAGTTTTTATGATGGGTTCTACCACTACACATGCACATTAATTATATTTTTTAAAAAATTTAACTGTGACATATGTTAAGTAGAAACAATCAACGTAACGATTAAGTATTTATTATATTACTCCGTACTAAATTATCTATTAATTTGGTCCTGATCAACTTTTCCAAGTTTGCAATAGGACATGACATTTTTATCAAATTATCCGACTAGTGAACCACAACAAGACAATCACAATTAATTTGAAAAGCCCCGCAAGTATGCCACACACTCTACCAATATATCTACATCACAATCAATGTAATTGAGTACATTCCAACTACATACATAAATAGCAATATTTGTACATGACTCACCATTTGTCACCTTTTTTTTGTAAGGATGATGATCGTGAATATAGAAAACATAGAAAGGGGGATTTGGGCGACACATGTCCCATTAGTTTTGCAAATGTTATATTCGTTACATTTACCGATTTACAATTTTTTGAGAAAAAAAAAGATAAAATAGGATATGGAGACAATTAGTCAGTGCATCACCAATTTCAGAAATATGAATTTCCCTATACATGTGATCAATCAGAAGACGACAAAAACTTTTGTGTACACTAAGTGTAGATATAATACTTCGTATTGGTGTATCTCGAACAGTTTAGAATAACTTCTTTTTATCGGAACAACTTTTAAATATAAATTTATTATCGATGTATTGATAAAAGCTTGATAGAAGATATAGATCTTAGGATTGTTGTCCAGTGTCCACGAAAGAGTGACTCAATAGTCAATATGTATGGAAACATAGACTTATTTATTACTCGTATGAATACAATGAAATTTGGGTTGATAATATCTGGGTTGTTGGGTTAATGAGCTAAACATAAAATGCACACTGTGGCTACTCATTCAAATCATGTTGTTGGACTCTGGGAGTAGCTATATATGTGAAGTTTGTGAACACATTTAATTTATTGCGAGGAAGGCACAAAAGCGAGAAATGATTTATTCATTACTCGATTCTTTTATAAAATTGCAACGTACTAGTAGACACTTGATTGTGTCTCCCCAAAAACAAAACCCAGTGATGAGTACCTTTCACGTATTTGATTATCGAGTTAGGTGAAAAGTTGAAGAGTCTCGTGAATTCCTCTAAGCCTTAACTATTTCTAACCTCTTCTTAAATGTTTTAATCCAAATCATTTATTTCGTGCCTTTAAACCCAAAATCATTCATTTTGTGTCCTCTTTATAAAAATGTCCAAACCAGATTATTTTGGTCCATAATCCTGATTCAAATATTGTGTAGTTGGATGGGGCATTAAAAGAGCTTTCCAACGATAAGTTATAAGCCTAAATCCGAGTTATAACGAAGAAGTTATGGCCAAAATACTAAACCGAGTCTTACCTACGACCCAATGACCATGTGGAGGGTCCATTAACCATAACCTCATTCCTAATCCAAATAGGATTTATTGTTATTTTCTAGAATCCTCTAAAAGATTCTAATTTATCCTGTTTTAGAAAAGATAAAGATTAAGAATTCAACTTTGGGTAAAACATTTGTTTTCAATAATTTTAATCCTGGTCAAACTAAAATACGTACGAAAATTTGATTAACCCAATTCCATTGGAAGTCGCATTCCGTACGAATTCAATCTTTTGAAAACCATCGCTGAGCAACAGCGCCATCGCGCCGCGACAAGGCTGTCGCGCCGAGATGGAACCTGTTTTACTTTGATTTGATGTCTGACTCTTTTCTGACCCTTCGACCCTCTTTTTTCCTATAAATAGAAGTCGTTTCACCCCGTTTTCATTCACCAACAATCATCATCTAATCCTCTCTCTAAGCTAAAAGCTTATTCTCTCTATCTCTTTCTTTCTAGCCTTAGCCTAAACACATCACACACGAGTCTTGAATACTCCTAGCCAATCTCGAAGTTGCCTTCGACCTCGACGTGAAAGGTTGATAGTTCTGAGGGTTTGGTCCCAAATCTATATCTCAATTCTTATTTGATTTTATTTATTTGATTTGATCTTTTTTGAAGTTACTAACGTGTGTGTTGTTTTGATAGAGAGAGGTACGAGGCATCAAAATGAGTAATTTGATCTCCCTAGTATTATTATTTTGATTCCTAGTATCATGTTAGGATGTCTTTATGATTCCTAGTATTATGTTTAGGGCGTTAATTAATATTTCTAATATCATGCTTCCTAGTATCATGTTTAGGCTAATGCTTTGATTATGATTTTCATTAGTGACATACTAGGGTTTGTTATTAATCTGTAGTATCATGTCTAGGATGTTGCTATTAATCATATTATGATGTTTTGATTATGATGATGATTTGTTGTGTCAAAAATTATTATGTTGCTTGATTATTCATGATTGATTATTATTGCTTGATCACGCCCCTTCTTGCATGCTTAAAGGGAATTTGTATTTGAAATCACGCCTAATAAGATAATTAATAATTTTTTTTAGGTTAATATGATTTTAATTCAATTGATCACTAATAATAGGTTTATTTTTGCATTAATAATCAACCAACGTAGATTAAACAGGTTTAGGATTAACTTGTTGTATGTATGTTGATCAGAAAGTTCACATGAATTTAATAAGAATTAAGTATAGGCCGATTTAGGGCGGGTTCAATCTCCTTAGGTTCGTATCATCATCCCCGAATATCCAGTCATGGTTTCGGACCACTATGGAGTTAGTGATGTCCGTGATCGTGAATGGGGTGTAACCTTCACACCCGTGAACGGTTTACAAGTTCCTAAAACATGTTGGCGACTCTTTTATCTCTAACTTCCTTCCCTTTGGACGCCACCATGCCTAAAAGCATGATCACAATGAGGCTCAAAGTTGATGTTTGAAAAATTCCCTACAGTTTTTGGCGACTCCATTGGGGAGGATTTCTAATTTTGATTCCTAAAATTTTATTTTGGCAATTGACTTTAGAATGAGTGGATGAGACTTGAAAGATTCTAGATATTCATGTGCGTTATTTTGATTAACATTGTGGCATAAGCATAAAAAGGTCCGCATTGGAAAGACCATCTGAAATGCGTCTAAAACATAGAATCGAAAAGATACTACGAAAATTGGAAAAAAATCGTACAACACAAAAAATTGCCGCAACGCGCAGGAACTGTCGCAAGACGGTAGGGTTCATCGCCATGTGACAGACCCTGTCTTCTTGCGCCGAGTTCTCGCGACATCGAGCCAGGAGTCTTCCTTCTTGTTTTGACCGATTCCAGTACTGTCTTGACGATTCTACTTCCTGATTGGGTTTTCCCTTCTTTTCTGATTCCATATGTGTTTTACATATGGCTTTATCCCTTGGGAATCTAACCAATCGAACGCTCCGTGCAACGAAGGGTACATACGAGTTTGTGAATTCACCAAACCATGGAAGCAAGTCTAACTTGCGGGGTTCCATCTATACGTGCCAACCCTTCCAAAGGTAAGGCTTCCGCGCGATGCATCCGGACTCATAACCATGGACCCTCTTTTGACTTCCATAATCCCTGAACTTTAAAGAACTAAAGCCATGGTTAGGTTGCAAACTCATTACATCATATTGTGACTACTTGAATACTTGTGCATTCCTTGTGCATATCTTACTTGTGATTAAACTAACCTCTTGTGTTTGTAAATAAAGTCTTAACCAATTAACCAATGACTAAAAACGGACTTTGCTTAATTAATTAGTTAATTTGAACTTATGAAGTCTAAATATACTTGACTTAGCGAGACTATAGGCTTATACCTTCGAGAGAATTACCGAGAACAAATTAAATTAACGCTCCGTTATTCGGCACGAAAATTTAAGTTATGCTGCGAAATGCCAGTTTCATCGCGATGCGACAGTTTTTTTCGCGCCGCCACAGTTCCATCGCCATGCGATGGTTCGGTTTTTTCTTTCCAAGTCTGCGTGTCGAGTCTAAACTTCATAATTAGCGAATTTAATGCATAATCGAGTCCTTAACTTAGTCTTTGTTTGAGTCCAATCTCATAATTACTCCATGGTCATTACACGAGTCTTGAGCATGTCACTTTCACTCACGAGTCAATGCACACACTTTGTATAAGTCTTTCACCATGACCATGTCTAGAGTCTTGTGTGCGTTTTTCCGTCATTCTTTTTAGGGGGGTAAGTCGGATATAATCCTCCAAACATAAACCATGTTTTCTTAAAAACTTCCCCATACTTGATTCCCAAA